TTTTTGAGATTGGGTCTTGCTCTGTCCCCAGGCTGGAGTGCAGTGGTGTGATCTAGGCTAACTACAACCTCAACCCCCTGGGCTCAAGCGATCTCAGTCTCCCAAGTAGCTGGGACTACAGGTGCATGCTACCATACTTGGCTAATTTTTTAAGGTTTTGTAGAAGCGGGGGTCTCACCGTGTTGCCCAGGCTAGTCTGAATAGCATTCTTTAAGAGACAAAAGACATGGATTAATTGAGTTTGCTGTTATAGCATCTACCACTGTCTACCCAAGACCATTGTAGGGGAAATTTACTTGGCAGTTTCTTTCATAGTCCCCTTAAGAAGGTCTGCAAGTAATGAGTACTTTCTCCATTCAAAGGAGAATAAGCATTTGACAGCAACATCTACTGATTGCCAGTGTTTTACTTCTGTGTTTCATCCTTGATTTGGGCATAGTTTAGAAAAAGCCAGACTTTTTGGCAAGCTTCAGATGGAAGCTACCGTTGATGAGCAAATTTGGCCCTTCTCATCTCCAACTAAAGAAAATGGAGGTATTTAACAAAGAAATATTGAGATACATGGATCATTGAGTTCATCAACAAACCTTTTTTTGAGTCAACTTTGCCAATAGCGTGCTAGACAGTGAGATACAAAGGTGACTTAGACCCCTGTGTTCAGAGAGTTCTGTCTTATGCTCAGGGCAGATAGGGAGAGATTCACATATTAGAGACATCTGAATCTTTCAAGAGTGCTTCAGTATGGCCAAGCGTGGTGGCTCATGCCTGTAATCCTAGCACTTTGGGAGGATTAGGCAGGAAGATCTCTTGAGCCCAGGAGTTTGAGACTAGTTTGGGCAACATATGGAGACTCTGTCTCCACAAAAAAAAATTAAAAAATTAGCTGGCCATGGTGGCGCATGCCTATAGTCCCAGCTACTTCAGAGGCTGAAGTGGGAGGATAGCTTGTACCTGAGAGGTTGAGGCTATAGTAAAAAATGATTGTACCACTGCACTCCAAGAAAAAAAAAAGAAAGAGAAAAAGTAAAAAAAAAAAAAAAAAAAAAAAAAAAAAAAAAAAAAAAAAAAAAAATCCAAGCACATACCCAGATTTTTCAGGGAGGTCCTCATTTTAGAACATCTGTCCTGCTGCTACTGAAATCCCAATATTTCAGGACAGGATAACTGAACAAATCAAGTAATCAGTATTATGATGTACACAGCAACACACACATATAGAAAGTCAATTGTTGAAGTTATACATCCTGATTTTCAGTTTGGATCTGTACATTCTGCCAATATGAGTGCTACTGCAGAGGGAACATTTTGGGGTCACTTCATTTTTAACAGAACCTTTTAAGTAAGCAAGAGCAATCACCTCCTAAGGTTTACCTATTCAAAAAATCTTGAGAATTTTAGAGAGAATTTTGCTGCCTGCACCATATTTCATAGTCCACATGGTCACAGATTTTAATGTCTAGTCATAATGTATGACTATGACTAGTAAACATCTTATAGTAACAGAAATTCCCAGGAGAATATACTACTTTATTAGATATTAGAATAAGCATACTTGACAAAGAATACAAATGTTAGCGATTTGCTTATCTTTTCCTTTCTTCCTGAACCCAGATTTGCCATCTTGCAACAGAATATTAAATCCCCTAGATGAGACTGGCATGAGTTTTTCAGATGGTGAAGTTTTCATTGGCCCAAGAGCAAAATTAGAAGATTAAGTACAATAAAGTTTTCCATAAAACACAATGTATTTCATTTAAAGGAATGCTCTTTATTTTGAGATCACGTCCTTTCTACTTCTTTCATGTAAAAGTATCTTCTAATGAAATGATGACAATAGAGGTGTTTTGTCTGTTTTAGAAATATTATTGGTCCCTGAAATGAAACAATTCAAGGTATTGTTTAATAAGGTTATATTTTCTGTTCTAAAAAAATTAATATGGAAGTTTTGTCAGATTTCCCTTAACTTCAGCTTATATAAGTGTTCCTTAACCTGTGACACACTCAGAAGAAACAAGTTAAGGCTTATTCAGGTTCATCCAAGTAAATGTTATTCCTAAAGGTAAGCTGTGTGAACCACTGTATTGTACCAACACTGTCTATCATAGTTAAACTAGCCTGTTCTAAACACTCATTGTTAAAGGAGTAAACTGGTCTTTTCTCTATTTCTTGTTTTCAGACCATCTCCCAGCCACTATTTTCCCCTCAAAGTCACTAAATGCAACTTTCAAAGGTAATAATGAAACCACAGATAAAGTAAAATTTATAATGACATAAGAAAATGCCACTAATTTTACATTAACAGGAAAACTGAAAATACATATTTACAAACCCTCCCCGACACACACAGTTTGGATCTGTACATTCTGCCAATATGAGTGCTACTGCAGAGGGAACATTTTGGGGTCGCTTCATTTTTAACAGAACCTTTTAAGTAAGCAAGAGCAATCACCTTCTAAGGTTTACCTATTATTACACACACACACACACACACACACACAGAGAGAGAGAGAAATGCACCAAAGTGTTAACAGTTTATTTCTGGTTAGTTTTGTTTTTCTGATATATTTTTCAGTATTTTTAAAGTTTCTTATAATGAGCATGTTTTCCTTTTATAATGCAGGAAAAAAAATAACAAAACATTTAGGGATAACATCAGCTTTTCCTTCACCAATATAGAATAACATCTCTTCTGGGAAGCAATGGCCACTGTAGGGATGGGAGGCTATGGCTCCCCTCCCCATTTCAGAAGACCACTTGATTTTTACAAAGCATCTTTTTCAACAGATTGTGAACTCTCCTTGCAAAATAAACACAGTTGATTGCATTCTAGGGGTGAGAGTCTTCATAAACAGGTGTCTTTGGTTTTTCTATAGCTAGGGTACATACTATTATTATTCCTTTAAAGACAATCTTGTTGCAGAAAGCAAGCCCAGGACAGAGCTGACTATGGATTAGAACACACCAAGTGTTCTATATGCTTACATAGTTTCTGGTGACATAACCCAGCACTGATTTCCTGGTAGATAAGGTCACAGAGATGGGTAAATCCAACTAATTGCGCTAGGTTACTAGAGATAATTACCCCTTCCTCCTGCCAAAGCCCTGTGGAAAGGATGGCAATGGCAGAAAACTTGTACTTACTGCATGTGTGTAACAGTTAGCAGCATGTTCATAGCAAGTTGGTTTGTAGCGGCCATTGGCTGGAGCTCGATGGTTCATGAACCTGTAAAAACAAAAAGACATCATCTAAGAAAAGCTCAAAGTGTGTGAAGAACAATGAGGAAATCTATCAGTGCATATTTGATCTGTTCTAAGCGAAGACATGACTGGTGGAAATACCTAGTTACGGTAATAAAGCCAAAGTCACTGAAGAGGAGTAAACTGAGCCAATAGCAATGATCCTTAAGCAAATACCCTAGTTTATTACATTAAGCATTCTTTCAGTTTATTCCAAAGAAAAACCTTCTACAACCAAAGGCAAACAGAAACCATATCTCCATATCTCCTTCAACTGGAACCCTCCTCCTCCACACACACACACACACACAACCACACACACACACACACACACACACACACAGTACAACTAGAAAAAAAAACAAAGGAATTTTTCTAAACTTTATTATCATTTAGTGAAAGGGATACACTACATTTGAAAAAAAAGTTTCAATTTTTTTTCTTAAAACTTATAAAGCTTGGGACAGGTACGATGGCTCATGCCTGTAATCCCAGCAGTTTGGGAGGCTGAAGCGGGTGCATCGCCTGAGGTCAGGAGTTTGAGACCAGCCTGGCCAGCATAGTAAAAACCCTGTCCCTACTAAAAATACAAAAAAAAGTAGCAGGGTGTGGTGGCGGGCACCTGTAGTCCTAGCTACTCAAGAGGCTGAGGCAGGAGAATTGCTTGAACTTGAGAGGCGGAGGTTGCAGTGATCCAAGATCGTGTCATTGCACTCCAGCCTGGGCGACAAGAGTGAAACTCCATCTCAAAAAAAAAAAAAAAATTATACAGGCACATCTTTAAGACCTACATCCCATGATTAACAGGCCTGTCCCACTAGTTTCCCTATATTGTATTACCAGTCTACCACCAGACAGCTTAAATAAATGATACCTGGCTACCTCTAGGCAACTTAAAACAGGAGGTATGTTTTCATCTTCGTTCTCCCTGAATTCAGAGTTCGCTTCAAATACCAAACACATGACTACTACCTGATACTTTTAGCTATAAAATTCACATATATACACATATATGTGTATGTATCTAAATATCAAAATCTGTTACACATATAGACATGTGCCCATATTCCACATGTCCCTTTGGGCTAACTTTGTGACAATCAGCAGTACAGTGAAAAGCATGAATACCACAGGACCTAAAGGGAGGACAGCATTCTTCCATTTCAGTATGCTGAGTGAGAATGCCCTCCCCACCAAAAACCCAATCCATACCCACAACAGGTTTCATGAGGGATTCTGGATTAGTCTAACTAATCCTTTTTTCCTCAGAAGGAGAAAAAAAAGCAGCTGTCTGAATAAATGAAGGAAGAATCAGATGCACAGAAACAGGCATAGGTTAAAAAAAAACTCCAACAGCATTCGGGTCACAAAGGCCTGCTGAATTCCTGTGCTTAGAGTCTATAAGACGTCAACAGGCTTTGCACAATAAATCATCCTTTTGCTCAAGTTCGTTTAAAGAAGTGTGTATGGCCGGGCGCGGTGGCTCAAGCCTGTAATCCCAGCGCTTTGGGAGGCCGAGGCGGGTGGATCACGAGGTCAAGAGATCGAGACCATCCTGGTCAACACGGTGAAACCCCGTCTCTACTAAAAATACAAAAAAAAATTAGCTGGGCATGGTGGTGCGTGCCTGTAATCCCAGCTACTCAGGAGGCTGGGGCAGGAGAATTGCCTGAACCCAGGAGGCGGAGGTTGCGGTGAGCCGAGATCGCGCCATTGCACTCCAGCCTGGGTAACAAGAGCGAAACTCCGTCCCAAAAATAAAAAAAAAATAAAAAATAAAAAATAAAGAAGTGTGTATGGCGGGGAGTGGTATTCTGTGCCACTAATGAGTTCTAACTACTCATTACCTTATTCATAAAAACAATGAAAAATGGTACAAGGTTGAACCAAGTTGCCAAAAATTGGCTACAATGCATGACCAAGCCATTCTAGAGAGTGCCCAGTTTATGAATAAAAGACCAGCCAATACTCTCTCCCTGAGTTAAGAAAAGCTTGTTATCTTTAGATCAAATTATTAAAAATAAAGTGGCAGCCACTATTAACACAATACAGATAGTTCAGGTGGGAAATCCACTGGGGAATGAATTTGGGACAGTGAAGATATTTCACTTGGCCCACTGATGGGTTAAGATATTTAACTAGTGTACAAAATATGTACTTGCTGAGTATAATCTACCAGATGGTTTGAAAACCAACTGCTAAAGAGAAATATACAGCTAGTAGTTTCAAATTTTATCCAAGTTATTCTCAAATATAGTTAACTATTATCAAGCATCATCTTTTCTCCCCTGATAATATTTTAAATAACTTTACTAATTTCCTAAGGGACAAGAGTGTTGCTATACAGCTCTCATTAGCAAAAAAGAAAATAACTACACTCTTGGGAAGAATGCTTTAAAAGTGTCCCAAGTATTAGAGGACATACCACATCATTACCCTGAGATATACAACAGAGCTATAAGTAGCATACCCTATTAGGAATTTTCAAGGGTAAAGAGCAAGGTCCCAAGATGGCTGAAGTCAGATGAAATTCAAAGTGCTCTGTGTAGGGTGCAGTAAGCAGGATTTGTCTACCCACCACCAGGCTCCAGACTAAAATAGCAATTTATATCTCTGGCAGCCCAATCTAAAAATAGTCAAGCCATTACCCAGCAACAGGGATAGACTTTCACATTTTCTCCTAAAAACAAATAAACTGGATGGCTATGTTTGTGACAGCTTAGTCCCCTGATTACCTGGAATAATTCACATTAAAAATAAAGTAGAAAGTTATACAAAAAAATATTCCACCCACTGTGACTTGAGGCACTCTCTCCTGATGCACAGGGCAAGACCCGAGCAATAGGGAAAGATAAGGGTAACTATCCTGGAAGCAACTCTCTACATCTGGGGCTCAGTAAGATAGACAGCATAATTGTTCTGCTGGGAAAGTACAATACAATTTTTGCATTTCTCTTGTAACCTGCTAGGGTGCAATCAAGACTCCTCCACAGCCTTCTGAAGAAATCATTCCTAAGACCTAAATGGAAAAGCAGATGTAAAATGTAAATCAACTCCCACACTCTGGCCCTCATGTCTTCCCCCAAAAAAGAATGGGAAAGGTTCAAGTGCTGGTTATGGAAAACAGCATCCATTTATGGAAGACATCTCTATTTAAGGCAGAGTGGCCCTAATGGTTACTCAATGCTTGAGTAACCAGCAAGCCCTAGAGGGTTTGAAGGAATGTGATTTAGTCCTGGGAGTGGGAACTGCACTTAATAAAGCTACTAGTTAAGCAGGGTTTTTTTCACTCATCTCCTCACTTTCTTTCAAAACTCTCCTGCCTTCTTCTTTGCCCAGCGTTCTTATTACCTCCCCCTTCCCCCATACCCCTCTCCCATGCCATGACAGAATTTCAAAACTGTGGAGGGAAAGAACAGATAGAGACCTGGGGACACTCCTTAGCACACGAACACACTTGAATTCAGCCCAATGCACTGTGCCCACTGAGTAGATCTGCAACGCACCAGCAGATCTCAGAGGCTGATCTCAGCAGATCAAATCCTGCAAGTGTTCCTCATTCTCCCATTGGAAGTACCATCAACACTACCTTCAAAATATATTTCTAATAAGTCCACCTCATCACTTGAGGTCAGGAGTTCGAGACCAGCCTGGCCAGCATGGAGAAACTCAGTCTCTACTAAAAATACAAAAATTAGCCAGGCATGGTGGTGTGCACCTGTAATCCCATCACTTTAGGAGGCTGAGGCCTGCAGATCACTTGAGCCCAGGAGTTAGAGACCAGCCTGGGCAAAAAGGCTAAACCCCATCTCTACTAAAAATACAAAAATTAGCCACGGGGTTGCAGCGGCGGGGTGGTAGTGACGCGGTAAACTCAGCTCCACAGTTCCTACCTTAAATAAAGAACTAACGTCTCAGGTCTGTACAAAGTCACTTAACTAATACTCCTGCTTGTCCCCCTATAGACTCTCTTCTTTATATTAGCAGCCACAGTTTTCTATTAGAAACAGATCAGGGCCTGGGCATGGTGGCTCACATCTGTAATTCCAGTACTTTTGGGGAGCTGAGGCAGGAGGTCACTTGAGCCCAAGAGTTTGAGAACGGCCTGGGCAATATAGTGAGATCCCATCTTTACACAAACACAAAATGTAAAAATTAGCCAGGTGTAGTGGTGCACACCTGTAGCCCCAGCTACTTGTGACTGAGGTAGAAGGACTGCTTGACCTCAGAGGTCAAGGCTACAACAGTGAGTTGTGATGGCACCATTGCACTCCAGTCTGGGTGACAGAACAAGACCCTGTCTCAAAAACAAACAACAACAAAAAAACCCAGATCACATCACACACCCCAATCCCAGCTTAAAGTCTGCTTCTGGCTTCCCAAAGTGCTTATAATAGCACTGCAACACAGTGTCCAGAGGCCCACAAGCCCTGACTGCTCTGGGCCTTACTACTCTTCCAGTCTCAGGAGGGCATCTTTCTCTCTCCACCCTCTGGCTATATCACCTCCTTTCTGCTGCTTAAAGACTTCAAGGTTGTGTCTGCCTCTGGGCATGTGTACTTGTTTACTTCTGTCTAGGATCTTCTCCAGAATGCTCAGGTCTCTTCTCATCCTTCTATCTCAGCTCAGATGTCACCTCCTCAGAGAGGTTTTCCAGACTATCCTAACTGAAGTATCATTTCAGTACTCCGAATCAGATCAGAGCCCCATGTCCCAATTGGTAAGACTTTGATTTGTTTTAGGTTATTTTTTTATTTCAACTTTCCCCACTGTAGCGTGAATTCCATGAAGGCTGCCTTGTTCACCTTTCTATTACCAAACTCAAGTACAATGCCCAGCTTATTGCTGGAGCTTAATAATTGTTGAATGAATAGAAAGACATTCCAGCTACTGCTGAAGTACTTTGTCTTAACAGAGATACCCTATAGCCAACTAGTTTTAATGTGGACCCAGCAGGTTCTGTAAGTAAGAGAAACAGGCAGCCTGGGAGCCAAGAGAACCCTGAATCTTATAAAAAGAAAGCACTTAAAGGCCAAGACAATGGATATTCCAAGGGCCCCTTCAACATCACTTACATTGCAACATAAATCGACCCCTCTAAATATTAGCTCCCCTTTATGACAGCATATTTGTTCAGGAAAAGTGTCCACTGCCAATAGTGCCAAACTTGACTTATTAAATAAAGGAAGACATGTATATAAGGAGACTACCCCATGCCTATGACTTAGTGCTTCAAGAACATGGGAAGAAAGACAATAGGTAGCCCTGAAAGACTTCCTAATACTTTAGATTCAGACGTTTTCCCACATATTCAGTTTTGAAGCTAGCTATATGATCATGAGGCTGGGGCTGAGGAATAGGGTTCCTTTTTCCTTGGATTTTTGGTTGCAAGACGGTTGAAATGAGTACACACCAACAAGAAGATACAGTAGAAGCTCTGTGGATCCTATGCCTACATGCGATACACATAGATGTGGTGTGGGCAGGGAGTCAGAGAGAGAAAGAAGTGAGCTAGCAACATGAGTGGAGGAGAGACAGACATGAAATTGAACTCTTGGGTCTACCCCCTTCCTAGCTGTGTGACTATGGGCAAGTTTCCTTTCATTCTCTAAACCTATTTACTCTTCTACTAAATGGGTATAAAAGTTATATCTTCCAGAGTTATAGTTGAGAATGAGATGAGTAATGTAGAAGTGCCCAGCCAGTGTCTCCCATAGATAAATGGCACTCAAAAAATGTTAGCAGTTACTGCCATCAATCAGAGATGCTGTGAAGGGAAGAGAATGACTTTGTGTTTGTCTATGTGTGTGCAGGTATCTTGGAGATACTCAGGTGTGAAACATATAAAACAAGGAAGATAAACTATGTCCATGTGTTCCAGTGGAATTTTTCACATCCTAAGTTTGTTGAGAAATCATCATTGCATATACCCTCCTCATGCTCCTCCATCCAGTTCCAATAAATCTATCAGGGAGGAAGTACACCTCCCTTCAAAGACAGTATGTCCCTCCCTCCAGATCCTTTGTAATTTACCTACTTGGGAATGCTCAGAAAGATACATTAGGAGCACAATATTAAAAGGTGCAGAATAGTACTCTCAGCATTTTAATGTGTGAACCACAAAAATTAGGACATTCTCATTACATTACTTTTCGTTTACAGGTTTTATTTCCAAGTTAAAATTGATACTTAGAAATATGTTTCCAACCTAGCCTATGATAGAGAACCAAGAAATTATGAGATCACACAAATCCTCAAAGAAAATCATGGTAGGTCTAGATGACATCAAGAAAGAAACCATTAAATATCCACTGAGTGCAAAACACAAGCCCCCAAGAAAATTACAGTCTATGCCACAACAAAAGAAAATGCCCATATTTTTAGTTATTAAGTGAAAAATATAGAGTGCAAAAATCACATTACAACTGTGCTAATAAGGAATGGAGAGATCAGTGTCCAGCAAAAAAAAAAAAAAAAAAAAAAAAAAAAAAAAAAAAAAAAAAAAAAAAAAAAAAAAAAAAAAAAAAAAAAAAAAAAAAAAAAAAAAAAAAANAAAAAAAAAAAAAAAAAAAAAAAAAAAAAAAAAAAAAAAAAAAAAAAAAAAAAAAAAAAAAAAAAAAAAAAAAAAAAAAAAAAAAAAAATTAAAAATTAAAAAAATTTAAAAGTCAGTTCAATAAGCTGAGAGGGTAGCATCCTCAATAAAGCGTTTTATTTCTTTTAACACTGTTTTAAGGTTTGTGAAACAAATAATTAAGCAGGGTCTTATTTTTTTTCTTTTTAGGGAGTCCAAAGGGATAGGAAAGAAAGACAAACTCTTAAATGAAATAAGGAAGGGGCAATTTCACAGAATATCGCTACTGTTCTCTGAAAACAGGAAGAGCACAGACGTGTAGAGAAGTAAAACCAAATCAAACAAACCGCATGCACAGGGCTTCACTGATCATGCCTGAGTGCATGTTATAATCCCTCTAAAAGCCCCTCTGGTCTTCATTTCTGACATCAGCTTCTAAAGTCAGAACGCCACGGTTCCATTTTGCCCTTAGACACACTGATACGAAGTTCCCACTGGGGGAACAGTGCCAGTCATTCAACACCCTGACTGATAAGCAATATATTCATAAGTCAATCCACGTCTTCAAGCTGATTCCCCTCCTGGTGGCCCAGACCGTGGTAACTCTTCTGTGCATTTGTTGGCTCCTTTATATTTTGGGACTGGGGGAGGAATGAGATGGGTGAGTGGGCAGTGAGGGCATGGAGATTAGAAAGAAAAAGAAAAATGTGTACTTTAAAATTCTGAAATAAAAGGTAGTGTCTAAAAGCTCAACAACCTTCTCTGAAGAGTTCATGCATTTCTTAAAATTTCCCCTGTCACTGCACCTCCAGCAAGGCTGCCTGTGGTGAAGGTCCGGGAATTCACACAAAGGGATGCAGAATTAACACAAGCCCTGGGGAGGTGAACTTTCACCCACTTAAACAAAAAAGAAAAGCCTGGAGTTCCTCTCAGAGCCATAGGCTAAACTCCATCCATTGTTGGACGGCGGAGCCCCGGAGGGGAGTAAGGCCACGGCGCCCCCGAGCCTGGCATTCCCACCAGCTCTACAGTGAATGAGCAGTCGCTCAGCCTTCCGGTGGCGCCTCCACTGTTCCTCATCCTCGTTTCCTAACACTGGCGCCTCCGCAGCAGGTCTCGCCACCCGAAAGCTAACTTGCCCCTTCGCAGAGCCCAAAATAGCACCGCCCTGAGACGCTCAGCTGGAGAACCAGCAAGGCCCCTACACGGCCAGGGAAGCATAAGCTGGCGGAGCGTGCCTCAGTTTCCCTGTTGCTAGGGTCGTTCACAAAGCACCCAAAATGCCCAGCACCCGGCTTTACGACAGATCTCTCCGCAGAGCGCCACCCATTTCCGCGCGCCCCGGGAGACCCCCCACCCTGGAGGTAAAGGGATGGAGGCGTAAGCCAGGTTGGAGGACTCGAGGGCGGCTCCTGGGGCTGGGGTTCGGGTTCCCAGAGCGAGCCAGAGCCCGGCCTGTACGGGGGTCGGGAGGGTCAGCCCCAGGAGCAACGGGATCCCCCAGAAGGAGGGAGGCTAGGGGTCCCGGGTGCGGGAATCCATCAGCTGTCCGCAGATCGCGAGGGGAGACCCGGGTCAGGCACGAGCTCCCATTCTCGGAGGAAGAGGGTCGCCCAGGGACAGCAGGGAAGGGACTCCCCTGGAAGCTGATCCCGGGCCACGGTGCGGGATCCACCCCGGATGCATCCAGGTGAGAAAAGGGGACACGCGCGCTTAACGGCGGGATCTGGGCACCCGCTCCTGACACCGGCAGCGGGACCGGGACGCCAACCCTCTCACCGCTGGAATCGATTCTTGAACCGCATTGATCCTCTGCTCCTCCTCGGGGGCCGGGAGCTCCGTCTCGTCAGCACCGGCGGCCGGGCGCGCGGCCCTCATGGGCTTGTGCTGCTCCAGAGGCCGCCTGCGTGTCCAGCGGAACCCTTCGGCCGGGTAGGGCCGGAGTGGGCCAGGCCGGGGGTCGGGACAGGGCTTGGGCCAGACCGGGCGGCAGGGGGCGGGAGGGAGGCCGCTTAAACGGCCCCGACGCCTCCCGCCTCCCGCCTCCCCGGCTCCTCCGCCCCGGGGCTCATGCGCCCCGCCCCGGAGCCCGGCTCCGCCCCCGCCGGCTCCGCTCGCCTGCGTGCATCCGCGGTCGCCAGCGCGTCAGCGCTCCGGTCAGCCAATCGGCGCCCCGAGCGGCGCGGCGGCAACGCTGCCATTCATTCCCGCCAGGATTGGGCGGCGGGGCGGGGCCTCGAGGCGGCGGGGCGGGGCGGGTCGAGGAAAAGGGGAGGAGCGCGGGAACGCGGCGCCCTTCAGTAAGAGACAAGTTGGAGAAGAGACCGAGGGAGGGGAGAGAAATGGTGGAGGAGATGGACCAGGAAATCTTAAAAGCATTGTGAAGGAAATAGCAGCAAACAAGCAGCCCTAACGCATTCATTCTTTCGTTATCATTCATTTCTCCATCCCTCCATTCGTTTATTTCTTCATCATTTTGAGGGCCAGCTCCCGTTAGGCAATTGTGAGAGGATCCAGGGCAGAATGAAAAACCTCCTTGTCTGACCCATGAGGGGGTTGAGGTCTTTGAGCAGTCGTCTAACTCTGAGATTCAATGAAACGGAAGAATCCTCTGCAAGGATCCTTTTATGTTATCCTCTAGTTTATTATTTTTTTATTCAAGCAGCTTTCAAATAAACCAGTAGACTTGTATAAGGGTCCTGTCACTAAACCTTCTAAACGCAGAGGGCTTCCTGGAAGACAGGTTGAAATAAAAATGAATGAATGGGTCAGGCGCGATGGCCAACACCTGTAATGTCAGCACTTTTGGAAGCCAAGGGGGAGTGGCGGATCACCTGATATCAGGAGTTCAAAACCAGCCTGGTCAACATGGTGAAACCCCGTCTCATACCAAAGTTAGCCAGGTGTGGTGGCAGGTGCCTGTAATCCCAGCTACTCGGGAGGCTGAGATAGGAGAATCGCTGGAACTTGGGAGGCAAAAGTTGCAGTGAGCCGAGATCACGCCACTGCATTACAGCCTGGGAGAAACAGCAAGACTCCGTCTCTCTCTGTCACACACACACACACACACACACACACACACACACACACACACGAATGGATGAATGAATGAGTGATTTCTCGAGCCTTTCCAGGATAACCCTTGGAAGTTAGATGTGATCCCCTCCAGGTATCCTGTCCATACCCAGCCCCCAGCCCACAGCTAGAGACTCTGGAGGGGCAGGAGGCCAGGGTGCTAGCCTGCTAGGAGTGCTCATTATTAGGCCTACGGTGAAGCGCTGGAAAGCCGGGGAATTCTGCCAACCCGGCTAATGAATCCAGTTTCCTCCCCTTGAACCTTCCAGAGAGGTGCTTTCGGTACTTATTGCATTAAACTTCCGAAGAACTCCTCCAGATGGGCATTATCCAACTCATTTTACAGATAAGGAGGCTGAGGCTTAGAGTGATAATGAATTTGCCAAAGGCAAAACTAAAGCTCCTACCTACCTTTCTCTAACATTAAAGACACAGATCCTTTCTCTACTTCAGACTGTCTCTCACTGTTTTAAAGCAATGCACATCTCTAAAACAAAACAAACAAAATTTCCTCCACCCCCACTCCCAACACTAAATCAGGAAAATGAGCCTGGATTGAAAGTCTACTTCTAATCAGGTATGTTGAGCCCCTGGGCTAAACCATCAGCCTGGGAGGGCAAGGTAATAAAGGAGATAGCTAATAAAGATAGATACAAAATAGCCATGGGAAATAACATAGGAAGGGTTAGAAAAACCAAGGAAGCTCAATTGTAACAGAGGCATCACACTGTTGGGGGATGTTGATGATGAGAGAGGCTGTGTATGTATGGGAAATCCCTGTACTTTACTCTCAATTTTTGAGTGATCATTAAACTTCTCTGGAAAAAAAAAATAAAAAAAAAAAAAAAAAGGACTAGGCACAGTGGCTTGCACCTGTAATCTCAACACTTTGGGAGATATGGTCGGAGGACCATTTGAAGCCAGGAGTTTGAAACTAGCCTGAGCTTTGAGGAAAGCAAGACTTAACCTCTAAAAACAACAAAAGAATTAGCCAGGTGTTGTGGTACACAGCTGTGGTTCCAGCTACTTGGGAGGTTGAGGTGGGAGGATCATTTGAAACTGGGTCACAGAGTGAGATGATCCTGTTGAAAGAAAAAAGAGAGAGAGAAAGAGAGAGAGAGGGAGAGGGAGGGAGGGGGAGGGAAGAATATGAAGGGACAGAAGGGAAGAAAGAGAGAGAGGGAGAGGGAAAGGGAGAGAAGGATGGAGGGAGGGATGGAAGGAAGGGAGAAAGAAAGGAGGGAAGGAAGGAAGGAAGGAGAGAAGGAAGGAAGGAGGGAAGGAAAGAGGGAAGGGCAGTGCTGATACATGCTACAACAAGGATGAACTTGAAAACACTATGTTAAATGAAAGAAAGAAGTCACAAAGAACTGCAGGTTATACGATTCCATTTATACAAAATTCCCTTTATGTGTCCAGGACAGGCAAATTGATAAAGACAGAAAGTAGGTTAGTGGTTGCCTAGGACAGGGGAATGGGAGGAGATAGGGGATTGGAAAGTGAGGGCTAAGAGGTGCAAGGGTTCTTTTAGAGGGGGGTCTAATGAAAACATTCTGAAATTGTGATAATGGATGTACAACCCTGTGAATATACAAAAGCCATTGAACTCTACACTTTAAGTGAGTAAATTGTATGGCATAGGAATAATATCTTAATAAAGCTGTTAAAATATTTTGAAAAATTTTAGTTTCTGTAAAAGGTTGAAATAAAAATATCTGGAGCACAGATTGTCTTTCTCATGTTTGTATTTCTTGGAGACTTTTAACAGAAACTCACACACAGTAGGTGCTCAATAAATAGTTATTTATATCAATTTAATTTAAAAAATAAATGAAAACAGCCACAACACAGTAAGCCAACCAATGCCAGGTCACATTCTATCAGTGACATAGGAATGTGCAGATATAGTAAGTGGAATGAGTATGATGAGCATGATGAGGAAGGGGTGCCAGAGAGAAGGAAGTCTGAAGATGGATTTTGATTGAGATGCTGGCTGGGTATCACTTGGCACAGACTTTCCCACTGGGAGAATGGCTTGAACAAGGAAGAGAAGTGGTTGGTATGAGGAAAAGTTGTGAGAGGCTACCTAGGTTTAGAAACATCCATAAGACTGATATTTACCCAAGGGGAAAAAAATGAATGAGATAAAAAGTCAGGTTAAATCAGATGAAATAAAACACCTTAACCTACAGTGGTCTCTTCCACAGAAATGCTAGAATATTAACTAAAGGTGACTTAAACAAATATGATGACAATTTTGAATTAACCTCATCTTTCCTGAAACTTACCCCTCAAGGTAAAAAGCAAGCCACAAAAGATAAAAATAAAACACAAGAAACAGCTTTAAAGGAATCATGTAAACACCTGCCACGTTTTTTTTACTGAGGTGTTGAATGAATCTGTTTCTGAGGAGCAATCCCAAGTATGTTAGCAGAAAAGAGGTATACAATTTGATTTAGAGATTAGTGTTGTGAGAGCTGAAGACAATGGAAAGTGTTTGCATTAGCAGGATGTGACATTTTTGTTGAGCTCAGAGATATAGTTCTTCTTTCTGCAAAACTGCAGTTATATATTTGCATGGGCACTGCCTGTACCTGTAAGAAGGAATTTGTGATAGAGCAGACTCCAGGTGCAATAGAATAGATGCCAGAGGAAATGTTTAGGAGAGCAAACACCTGCTCTGCTCATGGAGGGATATCCAGAGTTCCTGGTTAGGATGCCCACCATACAAAGAAGCACCTGGGACCTACTCCCCTAGCTCTGATCGTCCAATCAGAAATAGCAGCTTTTCTCCAAACTTTGACTCCAGACACCTTGGGAAGAGTTGACTGAACTTCCAATTTCATCCTGTGTTCTGCTACTGGTGTTCAATCTCTCTTTTTTACAAATACGACTGAGTAAAGCAAGTACAGTTGCTCCCAGTCTTTCTCTCTTTTCTGAAAAGAAGAATATTGTCTTTTCCTTCTTGGTTTTCTCCCTACAATCGCTGACCTTTGAGTAGTACATGTATCCCCCATGCCCCAGTCCTAGACTTGCTTGATAAAAACAATTGGATAAAACAACGGGAAGAAAAAAAGACCTACAGAAAAAGTGAAGGACTTAGGTAGATAGGCTATATGCATCACCCTGATAAAGATGAATAAGAAAAAAAAATTCCATACTCTGGGAGATGTTGATCAAGGTATTTTGAGAGGCAGGTTGGGATTTGGCAAATTAAGAGAATTCATAGGATTGTGGGAAGGACAAAGACAAAGATGAAGAAGAGGAGGAATGAGGTTTGGAATAGTTTTACTGACAATGTAAGTTGGATATTCTCATGTTTTCCAAGAAGTAAAGTTTGAACCCTTTTTAAAAATTATTTTTGGCTGTTTAGTTGCATTTATTTGAAAGTTACTTCTTTTAGCAACTGGACTGCATGGAAGGAGGATGCACAATGGAATGGTTGCACAGATTAATTTTTTTTAAACTTTAAGTTCTGAGGTACATGTGCAGAACATGCAGGTTTGCTACCTAGGTATACATGTGCCATGGTGGTTTGCTCCATCTATCAACCACAGGGTAAACAGGTTAAAATCTAGGTTTTAAGCCTTGCATGCATTAGGCATTTGTCCTAATGTTCTCCCTCCTCTTGCTCCCTACCCCCTGCAGATTAACTTCTTGAATGCCTAACATGACTCTAGAAATGTTACATCTATTATCTCATTTTATCCTTGAAACTATCCTGTGAGATAGATAATATTGTGTCTGTTTTGTTGATGAAGAAGTGAAAGCTTAGAGAGGCTTTGCAAATAACATAAATTTGTACTAGTAAAAAAGTCAAGAATGGAGCCCAGGGTTTCTGACTCCAAGCTCAGGGCTTTTTCCACCCATGCCTTGTCACAGTAGATGATTATGTGTCATTCCTCACTGCATGAAACAGTGTTCTATTCTCATTGGACAATCAATAAATGACATTCGGTTGGCTGTTGTGGTTGTTTTCCCTCAAAAAAAGAACATTATTTGAA